CATTTTCTTGACTTTATACTGAATTTCAGTTACAATTATTTTTTCCTATCTTGTGATCCTAATACAGCAAATCTACAATTATCTTCTTTCAATCACCACATTATGCCTTGTTCTAAAAGGGCCCATAAGCTTCTTATGTAGGAAAATTAGGGCTAACTTCCCCCACAAATAAAATAAAAGTGAGAGGTATGTCATTTTTAGAGTCGGATTTGTTTAATGGTCATACCATAAAATGAATATGATCACGTGATGATTATACTCCACTGCATTGCTTAATGATGGAGATTCTGGTCCCAATGGCCGTAAACGGAAGACTAACTGTACTACAATGCACTTTACCTGGGGCTGTCCTTGAAAATCACTTGGAAGTTATAGCTGGTCCAAAATGCAGCAGTGTGATGTTCACGGATGTTCCTGGGTTTGCCCCAATTACATTTTTATTATGTGAGCTGCCCAGAGTTTTGCTTCTTTTACGACTTTTCTTGCTGCAATTGTTCAGTGAATCACTGCAGTTGGTAATTTAGTAACACAGTTGCTAAGTGAATCTGGATTCCCCATTTTGTTTGTCAGAAGGTTGCAAAAGGTGATCCCATGACCCCGGGACACTGCAACCATCATAAATATGAGTCAGATACCAGACATGAGCATGGGAATACTGCAATAACCGTAAGTGTGAAAAATGGTCATAAATCACTTTTTTCAGTGCCATTTTAACTTTAACTCTGAATGGTCACTGAATGAACCATTGTAAGTCTAGCATTACTTGTACATATTTTTGCATAAAGATAAACTTTATGATTGCTCATGTATTGTTAGGGTATATCAAATTTTTCAACTTTCAGTTTCCAAACATTGGGGTGCTCAAAAGATGTGACATGCCTTGGGGTTTGTAAAGATAGTTTGGTTACTTTAATATAATTTAGATTGCTTGGTAAGTAACTACATAAATATAATAAATTTTTAACATTTTGTTTGTCCTGAATCATGCGTTGCTTTGAGGGTGGATTGTTCCTATCACTCTAGTATCTTATTGAGTTTTCTACTAATGATATAACAATAGAAGATGCTAGATCCGTGATGGCAAACCTATGGCACACGTTCCACAGGTGGCACGCAGAGCCCTCTTTGCAGGCACGCAAGCTGTCGCCCCAGCTCAGTGCTACCCTGCATGCGTGCACGCCTCCTGCTGGCCAGCTGATTTTCTGATTTTCTTCTGGAGGGGAAGGGTGCATGCAGAAGATGTGCGGGCATTTGGGGGGTCAGCAGCACATGCGCGGGGTGTGGTGGGAGTGCAGGTGGTGCAACGTTCCCCCCCATGGCCTATTTTTGGTCCCAGGATCTGCAGGAAGGCCTACTAGGCCAAAAAGAAGCGCGGGTGGGGTGTCACATGTGGATGTGCAGGGGGAGCGGGGTGTGTATCACACGCACATTGTATTATGTGTCCGAGAACATGAGCATTGTTGAGCATGCACACACGTGCTTTTGGCACACAACAACAAAAAGATTAGCCATCACTGTGCTAGATAATAATTTCTTCCATATGTGTGCAAATTTGAGTTCAGGTATGTTCATATAATGTAGGAAGTGTTAAATAGCTTATAAGATAGAACTTAGCTGGGCTCACTTCTGCCTGTTTTTCTGGGCATACTGTGAATTTCATCTGGCAATCCAACCTTCCACATTTGCTCTTAGAGGGTTGGAAGATAAGAGGAAAAAGAATCTAATTCTCTGGAAGTAGCACTTTTTGTTAATGTAGTGGTACATGACTTACAACACCCTTGGTGAATTCACCAGTAATCCCCAAAGGATACTGTCAAATTTTAATTTTCAGTTTTTAATATTAAGAGACAAAATGTTAAGAACATGTGGAAAGTTGTATGTGGGTGTGTAATATATATTTGCTATATGCTTTGCTATGTGCTGTCTGGGCAATTCTCAACATTTCTGCATTTGGGTGAGGCTTAATAGTAGCCCAGCAACATGATGCTTGCTGAGGCGTTGCTGTAGTATACGTTGCCACAATACATACAGAGATTCTGCCCTGATTTACGAAGAACTATATGAGGAAAATGTAAGTGTCTGTCCTATATATTTATTCTAATACTACATTAAAAAGAAGAAAAAGCTCTTTCCCAGACAAGAATTCTTAATCTTGGATGGAGAAAAATAGGTTTCTTAAAAAATATTAGTAATCAAAAAAGTTTCTGAATTAAGGATAACGCCTAAATACCTGAAGACTACTTGTCTTCTGAAATGAGGTTGCGTCTTATAACTAAGGTAGTTATTTCTTATCTGTTAAAACAGTTTTCTGTTTTTTTAGGGAGCACCCATGTATCATGTGGACAGGTGGATTCAGGAGGATTCCAATCATGGTATTTCATGCTGAAGCTATTCTAACTAAGGACAGTTACATCCGCTTGATTGGGGGTAAATCTTATTTTTCTCAAGTACCTACATCACTTAGAGTAGATTAAAAAAATTATTGAAAGACAAGATTTACTTGGCATACTGATAATCTGTTTTACAAAGTTTTTTTTAAAAAAATATATATTGATCCTAGAGTTTTCAAATATTTTCAAATATAAATTTATCACATCTTCTAAAATTAAAAACCTATGATTTTAAAACTTTTTTAAGAGAAGAAATTTTAAAGAGTAACCACTGAAGGTTATAAGACTTAAAAATACAGTATTGCACTTGTAAGGATTGTAAGGGTTAAGAATATTTCATATGTTATATTTATCTGAAATGTTGACTTTGAATTTAAGATAACCAAAGGAAAAAAGAACATACCGTATTTTTTGAAGTATAAGATGCACCCTTTTCCCTCCAAAAAAAGGCTGAAAATCTGGGTGCGTCTTATACACTGAATATAGTATTTTTTGCCTCCCGAAACCCCGCCCCCTTCACCAAAATGGCCAGGCATAGCTTTTAGGAGGCTTTCAGAGAGCTGCTGGGGGCTGGGGAGGGCAGAAATGAGCAAAAACGGGCTTTTTTTGCTCAATTTCTCCCCCCCCCCAGCTCCCAGGAACACTCTATAAGCCTCCTAACCGCTATCCATGCCTTTTTTTCCCCGTAAAAAACGGGCCGTTCTTTGCTTGTTTTTGGCCCCACCTCACCCCCCAGGAGCATTCTACAAGCCTCCTAAAGGCTATTCATGCCCTTTTTTTTTGAAAAAAAAAGGGCTTGTTTTTGCAAAAAATGGGCCGTTTTTGGAGGTTTGCACAGTGTAAAAAATTTTTTTTAAAAATTTGCCTCTTCAAAATGTTGGTGTGTCTTATACTCTGAAAAATACGGTAAGTACAAAACATCTGCACAGTGTTTAGCTTTTCAAACTTTTTAATCAAACTTTTTGTCCCATGTGACCCACTTGTATACAGTATACATGTCTGTATGCATGTATCTGCCACATGCCATAATTTAAAAGACACAGGGACTTGCATACATCTTTAATATAGTTCAATAATTCATATATCTTTATTTACATTAATGCATTCATATGAATAGAGAACTCTGTCTCCCAATGAAACATATAAATAAATGTACCTACATAAGGAAAGGCTATAGATTGATCTATTATATGGCTCTTATGTAGAATAGAATGTTCTGAGAAAATCTCTCCCTTTCTGCAACTGGTAAAGTAGATTATGATTGTATTTATATAATAATTCTGTATTCTGCCCCCAGAGCGCTATCACTTGTCTTTTAAAATTGTGAGAACGGACAGTCGCTTGGTGCGCAGCATTCTGTCAGCTCATGGATTTCGGGAGGTACGTTTATTAATTTTTGTGAATTTCATGGCCCTGAAAATTAAATCTGTTTGCACTGCTTTTATATCCAAAAGTTCACTATGGATCAGAGTCCAGAGTAACCTGAAGCCAATCAAAAAAAGCAAAAGATGTTTTCTCCTTTAATTTGGTGTAATGCTTTTCCAATTTGTAATGGGTGAAATTGTTGTCTCTTAACTTTGAATGCTGTCCAAGGTATAGATTCTGAGGTAATAAAATGTTATTCAGCTGGTTATCTATTAAAATGTTCAACCATATCTTTTCCCAGGTACATCCCAGCAGCAATGAATATAATCTTATGTGGACAGGGTCACATTTAAAACCCTATGTTCTGCGAACGCTCACAGATATTCAGAAAGTGAATCACTTTCCCAGGTAAGGAGTCTTCTGGTAATGTTATGATACAGAACAGAGACTCATTCTTTGAAGAATGATGCTCTATATGACAAAAGATCATTTATATTTCCATTTCCTCCAAGTGCCCAGCTTTATTCTAAAGTATTCTAAAGTTCAGTAAAATTGTTAAATTAAAAACAAAAAAGCTTTTATCAAGACTCTTGCTTTTGCTAATATTTCTTATTGCTAAAAATTAGTAATTTTCTTGATGGCATCTCTCACAGTTCGGGATGTAAGTGTGTGAGTAAGTGAAGATGTGGGGGTTACCAGAGCAAAACAAAATTAACAAATTTATTCCCTCAACCCTTTCCTGTAATATCTAGAGCCAGAACTATCTAAATCTACTTTTAATTTAGTCAAGAGGAAATTGATAGTAGAGGTTACTACAAAATATTTTGGGATACTGCAAGTTGTTTTCCCTTTCACAAACAACTAAAAAAATGGCATATTTATGTCCTTGAAGGTAGCAAGAGGTGGACAAATATATGCATGAGTCCAGAGATTTATTCCCAAGGAATGGGAACATTCTATATTTCAGCTGTTATTGATGGCTCTGAGCATGAATAGGCATTTACCTATCCGTAATTCTCTTCACATGGGTGGTTTGGAGGCATTTGACAAAGCAGTGAGCCATTAGAAATAGGCATAAGATGATGAGACAGAGGCTGGATAGATTACATGTGAATGTGTATATTTAAACAGGCAAAAGGGTGTGTGTGGGATAATGAAGTTTTTAAGAGTAACAGAATGCGGCTGTCCATATTGAATCCAAGATTATATTGGAAAGACTGTAATACTTCACTGAAAAAAGATTGTGGATTTCTATTTAGAGGTGACTTCAATTGAGGGACTAGAAGAGTGGCATGTTGTCCATAGGCTTTTAGTAGTGAAATGATTAAAATGTCATGTTAAGGCATTAAATGTTTCATAAAGCTTGTGAATGAAATCACACAGTAAAACTTTGATATAAAGCACAATTTTTGAAAAAGTCTATCCGTTAAATCCAACATTCTGTGAAATTATTGAAGTAATGGTTTACATTTGCATAATTACATAGTCAGTGCTTCAGATTAATTGTATCAAGTTATATCATTTGCATAATGTAAATTGTTGCAAATTTTAATTGTCCAGAATGCTTTAGAAACAATTGCCTGTTTTTTTGGGGTGTGTGTGTGTGTGTGTGTGTGTGTGTGAGAAATATGAAGTAAAATTTTGTCTGTTGCATCCAAAGTCTGCTGAATGGAAGTCAGGAGAATGAAAGTTTAATTGTGAATTCTTAAAAATCCTCATAAACAACATGACACCAGCAAATTATATCTACATGTCTTTAGGTCATATGAATTAACTCGGAAGGATAGACTATACAAGAACATTAATCGAATGCAACAGATTTATGGATTCAAGACCTTCCATATTTTGCCTCAGACCTTCATCCTTCCAGCTGAATATCAAGAGTTTTGCAGTAAGTCCATGACCTGGATTACCAGTACATAAGTAAAGGTAGAACTGAATGGGGAAAAATGCTTATTGAGCTTCTTAGTTTTCCCTTACTGCTTCTTTTTCTTTATAAAATATCTTACTTTCAAGTAAATATGGCATTTGACACACACTAGCAGAAGTGTATTAGGGTCCTAAACATTGATACTTTGAAATACAAACTGTGTGCCTGTTCAAAGGGTGCAGGTTAGAGTTTTGTGCCATCTACAGTCTTCATATAGTTGTTCATATGTGTCTGTGTCTATGACTAGATTCTGAATATGAAATATACATTTTTTTAAAAAGAACATCATTGTTTCAGCTATTGATAATGGTTGATTGGTAAACAAGGTTTAGTGATATATACTAATAAACTATATCGAAAACCTCAAGTATTACTGGCCAAAGCTATCATTGTTTGATGACATTTTTGTAGAAAATTTAATGCTGAAGTATGTATTTGTCTTTTTTCCCCTTTCAACTAGCTTCCTATTCAAAGGACAGGGGACCTTGGATAGTGAAACCAGTGGCTTCTTCTAGGGGACGGGGTGTCTATTTAATCAATAATGTAAGCATTAAGAAACAATCTAACAACTTCAAAATATGGCTTGTTTAATGACTCGCCACCTCCTGATTCTGTATATTTTCTCTGCCAAAATATGATTGACTGATAGCAATAGAAACTAATGTTCAGTTTTGAATCAATTTATTGTTCTGTCACTTGCTTAAATCTGCGGTAAAGATTATAGTCTTAAAAAGAGGCAATGAATAACTACTCCCATTTTGACTAGAAATTTAAGCCTGCTTAACTCTGAATAAGGGTTTCTAACCATAGTTATCTGAACATAGGATAATGACCCCATTCATATTTAATGTTAAGCCACAATAGTTGATTTTGTATATCACAGTAAGTTAACAGCAAATCACTCACATTATGGCTTTATGTGCTGTGGGAATTGGACCATTGTACTTTTACACTCCAAAGAAATCAGGTATACAAAATAGAAGCTGAAAATGAGGCTGGCATGTGAATGTTTTTAATATATAGGTATATTATATGAGAAATTTATGAAAACACGTTCTCGGAGGTATTCAATGTGTAAGAGTGACTGAAGTACAATTTTTAAGAAAAAAATAAATAGTTGCATTCAGATATGAAATTTGTATGTTTTTGGGTATCCTCACTTTGTGGATTGATGAGTAAAGATACTTTGGAAGTTAATATACCTTATAAATGGTATGGAATAAGCAACTGGTTTCTTTAATCATTCTGGTAGGGTAGTATTTTGCAAAATAAATTCAACCACATAAGAACATTGCGGTGGATTTAAGTATATACTGTAATATACTAAAGTAACTGTTAACTCCAATAAGACTCTTTTACAGAACTAAAAAGCAAAAAAAAAGTTATATTGTGGTTCTATCCTGAAGCTAGTCATATAGGTATTCCTGGAATAGATGTAACATAAAACTTGATTGTGAGTCATTACTTTCAGTTAGTAAAAACTTTCATCCCCCATCTCATCTAGAAGGGTCAATTTGCCTTGTCTGTTCTCAGCCTGGCTGTTTCCCATGGAATTAAAGAATTGCTGGCCAAATGAATGAAGCAAATCTTTCCAAAGCTGGACAAGATCTGCTTCAAGAAAAAGTAATATGTGAACAAAAGGTCAAAACCTGGAAAAACTCTCAAACCATTTTCCATCAAGGATTGCAAAATTCACAAATATGTCATATTTGTTCCATGTAGGGAGCACTCTCAAACATTCTTAAGGGAAGCTTACTTAGTTTTCTGTAATTAGGAAATATTTTGTATATGTATGTCATACTTGCTAAAAACAAACTTTTGTAACTGTAGTTAACTTGACCTATTGTTACACATGATTCTTGGAATGATGACTGCTGCAATAGAAAATAATATTTGATCCAACTTTTTCTTATTGCTTTATGCATGCATGTATGTATGTATGTTAGTTGAGTGACTTTGGGCCAGTCATACACTTTCAGCCCTAGGAAGAAGGTAATGGCAAAGCACTCCTGAAATCTTGTCAACAGTACTGCATGGACTAGTTCAGGCAATTGCCAGGGGTTAACACTGACTCAAAGGCAAAGAAAACGAAGGAAGGAAGGAAGTTCTAAAAATTTTTCATATATAATCTGAAGTTTATGCATATTATACATGGCTTCTCTAGAATATATTGCATTAATTAGGATCCATATCAATCTATGTATGATGAGGCTGGTGAAAACTGTTTTGCCAGTGAGGAACGGTTTCATCCTTTTCTTCTGATTTATAATGCCTTTGAGTCAGTGTTAACCCCTGGCAATTGCCTGAACTAGTCCATGCAGTACTGTTGACAAGATTTCAGGAGTGCTTTGCCATTACCTTCTTCCTAGGGCTGAAAGTGTATGACTGGCCCAAAGTCACTCAACTAACA